CAGCCCATGCTCAATCCACTGAACTACACCAGCCAGGGCAAAAACATAGCATTTTATTATCTCCTCCCAGGGGCCGGGACATGCCAAGAATTTGGAGGTTTGGGAGGGGAGAGGTCCTTGCTGAGGACTCTGAGACAGAAGAAGGTAACTCTGTCATCTTGTGGCTGGCTAGGAGCTGTGCCAACAGCCTGCACTAGGATGTGGTCACTGTAGAAATGGGGCTGAGGCCCAGCTGTCTCATTCAAGGAAAAGAAACTGAGGCCAGTCCTCTAGTTCAGCTCAGCTGTGGCGAGCCCCTTGCAGATCTAGCCGCTGGGTCTGGATTAGGGTGCTTGGTTTTTCCCCATGCCCTCTACCATCTCTGTCTCTTAACCCCTCCCTCCTTGCCTCCCCCTCCCTTTTTTTTTTTTTTGTATTTTTCTTTTTTTGTTTGTTTTGGTTTGGTTTGGTTGGTTGGTTGGGTTTTTTTTGTTGTTGTTTTTCTGCTTATGAAAGAATAAGTCAGGACCCATGAAGTCCTCAGAATTTTTGTGAATAACTTTGGTCAGAGGTGGCCAGAAAGCACATAGAGATGACCAGAGTGGGTGGTTGGAGCCTCACATCAAATTCCAGGATTCTGGGTCCTCCGTAGCCGAGTGAGTACGGGCAGTGAAGTACCACATCTGATTGCTGACCGAGGTTGGGGTCCTACTCAGCAATGGATGGGATATGAAGGGTAATGGGAACTGATATAAAATGGGTGTGGTTTAAGTTGTCCTCAGGAAGTAGCAGAATGCTTTACCCCACATTTCAAAGACTTCTAAAAAAAAAGAAAAAGAACCAAAATCAAAAGGTCATTGCAGACTGCCAGGTCAGGCCTGTCATCTCCTTCCCTGAAAAGGAGCTGAAGGCAATCCTTCCAGGTGTTCAGGCAGGTGTCCCTGCAGGTGTCCCCTCAGCCTCAGAGGGTGTTCCTCAGGCAGAGGACCCTGAGCCCCAGTGACCTGACATAGGAGTGGGGAGGCTTGGATTTAGATCTAGGACTGCCTCTGACTCGCTGGGAGACTGAGTCTAATCGGGGGGTTCTCTGTGCCTTGGTTTCCTCCCCAATCTTTCCCTAGCACCCCTGAGAGCTGACGGGAGAACAGATGATGATACATACACACACACCCGACCCCACCCCGGACGGGGCGAAATTTGAGGGCTATAGAAACCCAGGAGAGCACAGGCAGCCACTTCTGCTGGGGGGCTGGGAGAGGCGCCTCCAGGAAATCTTCCCCCGTCGCTTCTTTCTCAGCCCTGGAGTGACAGCCCTCTCTGCCTTCGCACAATGATGACGCCACCATTAGGCATTACAGCGTCCTGGCCCTTATACCAGTCTCTGCTCCTCTGCTTCCCGCCTGCTTCTTTGCTTCTCTGTCGTAATCTTGTAAACTTGCTTTTCCAGAGCCCCCACCTCCCCACTGGGCTCTTAAAGACAATGTTGGAGGGCCACAGGGGACAGCATTCTGTTGTCTGCCTTGGCTGCCGACATAGGTTAGAAGCTCCCAAAAATACCTGATCGCTGCTTTTTGATCTTAAGCACAGAATGGGAAGATGAGTGGCTGAAAAGATGGTGCAGGACAGGAAGTCGGGAACTGAACCCAGCGTGCCAGTCATGGAGTTACTGGACGACAAAGCGCAGGACAGGGAAGAAAGAGGTCGGGCCGTTCGGAGCTTCAGAGAGGAAGAGAGACAGGCAGCTCTGGAGTCCTTATTCCCGGGGAGAAGGTTGAGCTTGGATACGCAGACAAACTTAGAATCCATGACATGGTTCGAACAGGTTTACCTTGCAGTAAGAGTTTTTTGATTTTATGCAAATATGTAGGTGCCTGCCAATCACCAGCCCTATGCTCTAGGCACTGGGAGGAGGACACAGATAAATCAGAAACAGTCCCTGGCTGCAGGTTGTTTATTACCTAGGAGTTACAAATACCATGTCCGTGATCCAGGAGAGAGGGTGATATGTACCTGAAGGATACCAGGTGCTGGAGGAAATCAGGAAATCTTGAGGCACGTCTCCCAGGGGGCCCAGCAGGCTCCGTCGAGGTGGAAGCAGGTGGTGACGCTGGTCTGCGTGCACAGGTGGGATTTCAACCCCGGGCACGAGTGCAGACCTCAGGGGAGGGGACGCCGGGGACCCTGGGGACCCGGGTGGGAAACAGTGTGTAGAGTGGTCTGTCCAGGACGTGGAGATTCCGAAGAGAGGTGAGGTGTAGGGGACAGGTGGGAGGGACCAGAACGTGAGGACTTTGACCACCATCTTTGGAAGAGGGCCTTTCAAGAGCTTTAACAGAAATGTTAAGATCATTTAAAAGGGTGTGTTGTAGGTCAGTGTATATTGGTTTAGAAAGGTGTTTATGATGTGAGGCAAAACCACATTGCAAAGTGACTAGGTACGGTATGATTTCTTTTTTTTTTTTTTTTAAGATTTTATTTATTTTTAGAGAGGGAAGGGAGGGAGATAGAGAGAGAGAGGGAAACATCAATGTGCAGTTGCTGGGGGTTATGGCCTGCAACCCAGGCATGTGCCCTGGCTGGGAATCGAACTTGCGACACTTTGGTTCACAGCCCGTGCTCAATCCACTGAGCTACGCCAGCCAGGGCTGATTTCATTTTTTTTTAAAGCACGCACACAGACGTGTGGAGGGCAAGACCGAGAAGGGTGGTATATTACCCTCCTGGTGTTACCAATGAGACTGCTGGGTGTCGAGAGCTGGAGGGGTTTTTTGTTTTGTTTGTTTATATTTTTTCATGTCTTGACTTCTCCACAATTTATACATACTACTTTTGTAATTACAAGTAATTTTAAATTTGTTTTAGATTAGTACGTACTACATGATGGCTGAGGGAGATGACTTAAAATATGCCAGAAATTAGATAAAAAACTGAGACTGAAAGTTGTCCATGCAGTATTATTTATGATATCTGAAATGGGAAGGGAAGAGATACCCGCCCCCCCCCCCCCCAAATGTCCGATAATATGGGAATGGCTAAGCACACTATGTATGGCCACCTGGTGGGATATTATGTAGTCATTAAAAATGAAACGTAGACTGTTGATACTTAGAAATGGGTATATGAAATGGGTAGAAGAAATTAGAACATAGTGTACATTTCATATTGATTACAACTGTCAAAATGTACGAGTATGTGAATACTTCAGTGGATTTGGGGAATGTAGATTGTTTTATTATTTTTTTGCTGTAGTAAAATACACATAACATGAAATTTACCTTTTCAGCATTTTTTTAAAATAGGATTTTTTAAAGATTTATTTATTTATTTATTTATTTTTAGAGAGGGAAGGGAGGGAGAGGGGGAGAGAGAGAGAGAGAGAGAGAGAGAGGGAAACATCAATGTGCGGTTGCTGGGGGCCGTGGCCTGCAACCCAGGCATGTGTCCTGACTGGGAATTGAACCTGCGATGCTTTTGGTTCCCAGCCCACGCTCAATCCACTGAGCTATGCCAGCCAGGGCTTCTTTTTAGCATTTTTTATCTTTTCAACTCAGGGGCATTATACACACTTGCAATGTTGTGCCACCGTCACCACGGTCTGTTTCTGGAAGGTGTTGGTCTCCCCAGGCAGAAACCCAGTGCCCGGGAAACAATACCCCCAACACTTCTCCCCTAAGTCCCCGGGAGCCTCTATTCTACTCTCTGCCCCTGTGAATTTGCCTAAGTGTGACTGTACAATATTGGTCCTTCTGTGCCTTGTATTTCACTTAATACAGTGTCGGAAGTTTCACCCACGTTGTAGTATGTGTGGGGATTCCATTCCTTTCGGAAACGGACATCTCGTTGCATGCGTACACCACAGTTTGTTGATCTGTTCGTCTGCCGCCGGACTCTCGGGTGTTCCCGCCCTCTAACTGTTGTCAGTAATGGCGCCACAAACGCGAATGTACAAATGTTTCTCTGAGACCCCGTTTTCAATTCTCTGTGTGTGTACCGAGAAGTGGGACTGCTGGGTCCTATGGTAGTTCTGTGTTTAGCTTTTTGAGGAACTGCCAGCCTGTTAGTATCTTTTTAAATGTAAAGCTCTTCAAGTTTATTTATACCTACAATCCCCAGTTCCTTTTGCTGTGCTTAATGCACACGTGAGTTTTCAAGGGATCAGTGCAGATGTGAAAGCCTTTCACTCTGTGTAAAGGGAGGAGCCTTACAGATCTTAAGTCAGGAGAGCGTCCTGAACGTGGCCATGGAAAACACGGCCCACCCAGGTGACTGAAACTTGCAGAGGATTCTAGAACCTTCACATGTTATCATTGGTTTCTACTTTTACCTTCTCCCAGAGCACTTTAGCCAAGGTAAAAAAAAAAAAAAAGTAAAGTGAATGCATTTACAATTGCTTTATTTTTGTCCCATTTAGCCAGAGGTCCGAGATAGAGGAGAGAACCAGAAGGCTCGGATAGTCCCCTGAGCTGACCCCTTAGTCCCGGATGCCTGAAAGTCATTACGACATCACTCGTCCCAGGCACCTAGGGTCCCCGGGGCTAGCCCTCCCTGCAGGCAGTATAGAGGGTCCCGCCGTCAGCTCACTGAATTCGTGCAGAACTTAGGAGCCCTGTGATGAGTGCTGGGTGGAGGGAGAAGGGCAGGAGATGAAAGACAGGAGAAAACTTGGTTTTTACCCACTTGCAGTTCCCTCTCCAAAGATGGGAAACAGCCCTGCTCTCAGGACCCTCAGGACGGAGCTCTCGGGGCTTACAGTTCCTAGTCCCAGAGGAACAGGACAGAGATGGAGGACATGCGTATAAAGTCATCCCCGTCCAGAGTCAAATGGTGTAAATTGTTTCCGGTGACGATAGCCAGCTGGTGAAGGCAGGAGAGCGCTCCCCAGACTGCACGTGCTTTTATGGGCAGCTTCGGATTCCTGCAGGAGGGGTGGATATGAGGGAACCTGGAAGAGAGAAGAAGGTGGGTTTCCACGTTTCTTCCCACCACGCTGATGTCCAGGGGCGTGCTGTGCTCTCTTCCAGCCAGCGTCCCATGTTCCGTGGCCCCAGAAAAGCCAATGTGTAGGCCTCAGCCACCCCAGGTCCGACGTACCTTCTCCCTGGACACCATCCTCAGCTCGTACCTTCTGGGCCAGTGGCCACGAGATGCCGATGGGGCCTTCACCTGCTGTACCAATGACAAGGCCACCCAGGTAATGCTCTCTCCTAACGGATAAGGGATGCGGATGGGGGGACGGGGCTGGCTGAGGAGGCCTCTGGTCTGCTTACCAACTCTCGTGCTTGAAATGATCTTCGTCATCTCATGTCTACCGGCTGGGTTTCCTTTCTACACTTACGTGAAAATGAGCTTGCATTCCACCTGACGGGTGGGAGAGAAGCCAGTCTGGGTTTTTTCAGTCTGGCTTGAGGATTCATGCATGGGTAAGCAAGAGCTGACTTTGGAATTTACTTTGGATTTTAAAAAAGGAGATCTACCTTGCTAAAGTTAAACCGAGGCCAACATTCAATTGCGTTTGTGTTCCCCAGACAACTGGACGAGGTGGCCCGAAAGGGCGCTGAGCCAGCGCCGACCCCACTGGAGCAGCGGGAGCGTCAGGCTCTCGGGTGGCAGAGCGCTGACCCCTAGCCACCATCCCCGTCTGGGGTCCCGAGAGCCTGGGTCCCCTTTCCTTTAAAAGATGAGTCTTTTCATTGAGAATCTTAAACTTGGAAGCAGTCATTGCAGATCGCCCAATCCATTGGTCAGTTTCTGAATAAGATCGTGTTAGCCCAAGCAAGAAGTCATCTTAACTGTGAAATTATACAAAGATATTTTTACGCCTGGTTCAGGACTTCAACAGTCTTAGCTGTTTGTTAGGTTGTGAAGAGTCAAATCTTCCCCCTTTTGATGCAGTTTAAACCCATTCCCGTTCAACTTCAGAAAAAATGAGTTGTCCTCAGGAAGGAGGATATGGCTCAGAGGCAAAGCAGCGTCCTGGGGGACATTGGTCAGGCCAGTTCTTCCTTTACAGGGGGCAGGGGCAGGGGGGCCAGGGCGGGAGGGCCGGTGCCCGCGTGGGCTGCCCGTAGGTGGGGCGACGGCCAAACGTGAAAGTGTTTGGTACCCTCGCTTTGCCCTGCCTCCCCTTCTGAGCACATCACGTCAGTCCCCTTCTTTTATTTATTTTTTTACTGAGATCCATTTTCACGTGTTGTCAGTGAAAGTCTGAATGCCCAGTCCTGTTCTTGGCAGGTCGGAGTGCAGAGTAAGGAAATGAGGACAGGACTTGGCCTCCGAGTCTGGATGCCCGTCCCACGGAGGCCAGGGAGCGGGGCGCCAAGGAGGGAGGCGGGCCAAGCGTCTGGCACATTTCAGAGGAGGGGAATTCTCCTGGGAATACCCTGCCTGGGACCTGCAGGGATTTACTGCAGTCGAACTGGACGGCCCTCTTGACATCTGAGGAGGGCACGTGAAGGGAAAGCACAGTGCGGGGGGCGGACAGAGCAGGCCTACTCCCCGGGAGCCCCGGGCGCTCTTGCTCCCTGTACCCTTCGAGAAGGGCGCGTAGGATGGGTCGGTTGTGCGTTCCCCTCACAGGCCTGGAGCACGCACCCCTCTCTCTTTTGAGAGGGGTGTTTAGCCCAAAAAGTGTATGTAGTCGAGGAGGGCTTCGTGGACGAGCAGGACTTGTTGAGGTTGCTTCACGTGCGTAAGCTCACGGTCGCATCGCTTTTTGCCTGGCGGCAGGCTTCCTTCCGTGTAGCCTGTCGCTGTCACTCCCACCGCCAGCCTTCTAGGAGGCCTCCGTCCCACCCTCAGGTAGCAGGCGCGTTGTCAGCCCCAGGCGGGGTTGGCCGCAGCTGTTCCCTGGCTGCATGTAGAGGTGTGGGCTCTGGGCCTCGTGTTGCCGCTCAGGTTCCAGCTGCAGGCCAGATCTTTTATATAACAAGTCTGGGCTCCTTGCCACGGCGAGACAGAGGTCAGCGATGCGTCTCCATGGGTTTGGCAAGGCCGGGCTGTGCAGCTTTCCTCTTTCCCCGGGATGGGCTCCAGCCCTCGAGGAACTCTTAGCAACCTGTCAATATTGTGGCCACAGCCAGGAGGTGGGAGAATTCTGATCAACGTGGGCATCCAGTGTGCCTACAAAATATGTGCTCTGCCCATCTTGCATTCCTGGCCTTCTGGGAGTTTCCTGCTTCTAGGCCTTGGGACCCATTCAAATTCCTACTTGAGTCCCTGGCCTGGCCCGAGCTACCTTCTTCTACACTTGCGTTACACCATGGCGACCTGTGGGGAAGTGAAGAGGAAAGGTGGGAAGATGGGATTTACCAAAGTCCTTGAAAGCTTTCAAATTGTTAAAAATAGATCGATGCCTCAATTCTTGTGAGCTGAGGGAAAATAGATCGATGCCTCAATTCTTGTGATCTGAGGGGGCCTCTTCCCACCCCTACCCCACCTTCTACCCTTTCTCCTCCAGCCACACCGGCGTAGTACACCCACCGTATCTGGCTGGGCCTCACTTCTGCACTTTGACTTTTTCCCCTGCACCTCTCACTGCCCCCCCAACCCTCCCCACCCCCCCCACCCCCGCCCAAATCCAGAGTCAGCAGCCAGAGTGCGTGTTTGGAGATCACACCAGCCTTGGTGTTCCTGGGGGCCTGCTTTGCAGTGAAGGCAGGGAGCCATTGTTCAGCAACGTTCTCCCAACCCCTCCAGAGCAAGCAAGGGCCCTGTCCATGCCAAGCAAGTTTCACACCTGGGCAGCGAGCACAAACCTGCCATTCAGGTAGCATTTGCGAGGCTTCCTCACAAGGCAGAAGGTGGAGTAAAAAACTCTTCGTTCTCAAATATGTCAGGTTGCCAACAGCCCCAGGATCCCCTCCCTGGCTGAGCTGTGACTTAAGCTCTAGGCAGGCACAGAGTATAACGTGGGTAGTGCTCAGGCAGTTTACAGTGTGACAGGGAGAGCTGGGGGACCCAGGTATTCGGGGGGGGCAGGGGAGGGAGAGAGGTGGGTGGGTCTTATTGGGAGGCTGGTCATTCTAGGAGGGAGAGGGGGTGCGAATGTGGTGACTGGGGAAGGAGTGCTTGGAATCGCTGCGTGTTCCGAGGCAGGACGAGCAATGGGAGGGGGGTGACCGGGTCTCCCAGAGACCAGCTTGGTGGGTGCAAGGAAGAGCTCGGGTGCAGCGGGAACTGGACGCAGCGTGGCCAGCCAGGGAGGATGAGGAGGGCCCCCGTGCAGAGTCACCAGCATCTCGATAACTGTGTCAGGATTCTCCAGATCAGTCTGAATATGTTTTCTCCTCTGTGGACCGCCCTTCCCCCAGGTCAGCTGGGAAACCGGAGCCAGCTGCGCAGTGCTTTGGGCTGGCCTCTCCTAGCGGCTGAGCCCGGCCAGGGCGGTGATGGCACCACATGCTGGTTGCGGTCACCCCTCTCCCTTGCTGCTCTGCAAAGCATTTGAGTCTTCTTACGCTCTTCTGGAGGGAGGAAGTGGTCTCACCACAGCTGGAATGACTGTTTGAGCAAAGTTCCCCTGCTGGTGTTCTCATCCTGCAGACAGATGGGACCCTGGGTACCTGCTCTGCCTCTGCACCCACCCCCGCCACCACCTGTCTCCTGCTTCCTCTGCATGCCCCAGGTGAGGTGGGGTAGCCTCTGCAGCAGGCTTTTTTCTTTAGGGCTCACTTACCCTTTGCAGGGGAACAATAGCATAAGGCCTTGACGAGCCTCACGGAGTGTCCTGATGGCCGAGAGCCGAGGTGGCATGCTTTGTTTGGGAAGACTCCCCTTTCTGGGACTCGCCCTCACTGCGGAGTGTCTTCCTCCTTCCCCAAGCCAGGGCCGCAGCATTTAGCGATGACACACAGTTCGGCCAGCTCGTCACGGGCCGGCCCTTGTGGGTGTGGGGGCCTGGGCAGGGCGCCTGCTCTCCAAACTGATGAGCGGGGCCAGTTGTTCAGCATGTGGTGTGACAGCAGCACAGAATGTTTGAAGACGGGTTCCTGATGGGAGATGTGAGGGCTGCACAGTCCTTGTAGGGCCAGAGATGACGGCCTTGGCCACCTGCAGCCAGCGTTCTCAGAGCTGGCCAGCAGACCCCCACCTCGGGGTCTTTCCTGTCTCTGTGTCTGGCCAGAGTCCTGTGAGGGGGGGCTGGTTTTCTGCTTGATTTCATTTCAGCACATAGTTACTAACCCTCTGTACTGGGCCAGGCGCCACACTGCCTCACGCTGTGCTCAGGTGTACTGGGTGGTGTTCCCAGGGCCCCCCTGGGCTCCCCCTGCGTCACTGGAGACAACGCGACCAGGGCCCTTCCCATCTCAGAGTTCAGGGAGAGACTTAACTGGGTTGAGGGCAGAGAAACAGACGGTAGTTGTTGGGAGGGTTTTTCAGCTCCATCTGGCCGCTGCCTTCTTGTTCCATCAGGCTGCTCTTTGGAAACCTCTCCTCCGTCCCCATGCCCAGTTAGCCTTCCACGCGTTGCTGGGGGACCCCGGCATCCTGGCAAGGCTTCTGTGGTCTAACCCACATTCAAGTTTGTGTGATCCGAGCGTCATCTGCACAGTTGCTGGCACCACCCATAGCTAGTAAACAGTCCTGCGAACTTCAGCTGCTCCCTCTGGACCAGGGCGTTCAAGCAAATCTGTTCCAGTGCTCAAGTCCCTTTGACAAACATGACTTTGGCCTGCTGAGCTCCAGCTCTGCCCTGCTTCCAAAGGAGCATCTGAAACAACTACTTACAGTGCTGTCGTGTGGTGTGGCTTGGCCCCCGTTGCGCCATAAAGGGGCGCTCTTTGAAGGGTAGCCTTCAATAGCTGTGACTTCTCTGTGCTCCAAGGAGCCCCTGGCTCAGACCTCTGTGATGAGACCCAAAGGAAGAGGGGGCACTGAAAATAAGGGAGAGGGCATGGCCCCCACTCTTGGCTCACTCAGTTCAGCTGGATGGGCCGAAGACCACGCCCGTGCACGTTGCCCGCCTTAAGAATACCTGAGGCCCAAACGTAAGCAGCTTCAAACACAGCATAACCTAGTGTATTAGGTACCAAAGCTGCTGTAACAAATTACCTCAAACTCAGTGACTCAAAACAACAAAAATTTATTCTCTCACAGCTCTGGAGGCCAGACATCCAAATTCCATTTCACTGGGCCAAGTTCAAGGTGCTGGCAAGGGCTGCCCTTTCTCCAGAGGCTCTCTGGGAGATCCAGTCCTTGCGTCTTCCAGCTTCTGGTGGCTGCCAGCATTCTTTGGCTTCTGGCCACGTCACTTCAGTCTCTGCCTCCACGGTCACTGCCTCCACGGTCACGTTGCCTTTTCTTCTGTGTGTGCCTAATCTCCCGCTGTCTCTCTCTCGTAGGGACACTTGTCATGGCACTTCAGGCCACTCAGATAACCCAAGCTAATCTCTCCACCTTAATCATATCTGCAAAAATTTTCCCCCTAAGGTAACGTTTACAGGTTCCAGGGATCAGGACCTGATACTTGGGGGACCATTTTTCAATCTGCCACACCTCATGGCCTCATCTTCTGCCGCTGCGCCCCTGGCTCGCTCTGCTTCAGCCACACCGCCCTCCTCGTTGTTCTCGGGCGGGTGAGCTCGCTCCTGCCTCAGGGCCTTGGCACCTGCCGCCCCCTCGTCTGCACCGCTCTTCCCTCGGATGGCCACGTGGCTCCCTCCCTCGTCTCCTTCACATTTTTCTTCAGACGCTGCCTTTTCGCTGAGACTTCTGGGCCTTTAGAATCATGTCGGTGCCTCCTCCCCTCCCCCACCCCACCATCCCCAGCCCCTTTCTCTGGTATATTTTTCTCTTTAGTATTTAGCACGCTGAAACTGTGTCCCCAGCTAGAATATCAACTCAGAGGGGATGAGGAGTTTTGTTGTTCTGTGCATTGTGGTGTCCCCAGCCCCTGGAACAGTGTCTGCCACACGGTGGGCATTCAGCCGCCATTCACTGAGTGCAAGAGTGAGGAAAGGGAGCTGGGTTTGCCTGAGCCGGGGTGGGGGGGGGGCGAGAGCCCCGAATGGAGAGGATAGCCCCTGGGAGGGAGGGTAAGATGTACGGCCAGGGTGGGAAGGCGATGGCCTTGGTAGCACAGTTTGCAGAGCAGGCGGCGGCGGTTGCCGGAAGATGTTGCTGAGCAGAGAGAGCAGGGGGTAAAATGGATTGCGAGGAGGTGATCCTTGCCGCCGTGAATTTTCACACCCTTCCTAAACTGCAGCGCCAGCCTGCATTCCTCCTCCCACCCCCTCACCGTACTGCACAGGAAAGGAGGCAGTTGAAGAGGTTGCCAGAGATGTTGGTAGAACCGGTGGCAGCCTGGATGTGGCTGGTTTTGCCTCTCACCACCCACCTGCGAGTACAGCATCTTCTTGGAGGAGGGGAAACGGGCTCGTCACCCTGGCCTTTGTCATCTCCCCTCCGTGGTGTCTGCCACCTTTCCAGGGACCACGGGCCAGTGTGGGACCCGGCACTTCCATCACAGAGCTAGTCACCTGGGGTTGTGGCTTTGGAGCCCTGGAAGGAGGAGCATCTGGGCATCCACTGGGCCGAGGGGCCTGTGGGAGAGGTGGGCTTCCTCCTCGCTTTTCAGTCTGTGCAGCAGCCCCTTCTGAGGCTCCCTCTGCCAACTCCCACGTGGAGAGATGGAGGCGTTTGGAAGGAGGCAGCTGCTCCGTTTCCACAGACTGGCAGGGCCAGCTTCGCCTCCGGGGCTCTGGGGGGTGGACCCAGAGGGCGCGTGGCCTGCTCTTTTCCTAAAGGAGGGCGTCGTGGGGGGTGGACCTCTGACGGTCTCCCCATGGCGCTAGCCTCGGCAAAGGGAAGTAGGGCCATCGTCTCACCCCGGCTGTGTCGCCCAGCCCAGCGGAGTTCGGCCTGGTCGGCGGGCAGCCGAGAGAAGGGACTGCCAGGGAGCCCGAGCCCTCAGCGGCCCCTCCGCAGCAGCTGTCACCCAGGGCGCGCCGCTCCCCCAGCCCCGCTCCCACCGCCCCTGCCGAGCTCTTCTTAGCAGCTGTTGGGTGTTGACTTGTTGGGGTTTTCTCTCTTTTCCTCCCCCTTTTTGTTTGCAGCAACCTCTCAGGGGAGGTCGCAGATCTGTTGGAGGAGATGGTTCCCAGGCCCTCGTGCTTTTGGCAGCCTGTGCAGGGGAGCTAGAGAGGAACTGGCTCCACTGGCGCGCGTCCCCTGTGGGCCCCTCCCTGGGAATGGAAATAGGGATGTCCGCGGTGGGGAGGGACCTTGTCCTCCTGCTTCGTGCTTGGAGCCAGCAGCCTCCTCCCTCGGGCGGGGGCTCAGGAAGTGGGTCTGCAAACTCCCCCTGCCTCCGTCTTGGGGTCTTGGGCCAACTCTGTCTTCCGTGCAACGGGGAGGGTGCGGCAGACTGACAGCCCTGTTCTCCCGAGGGGCAGAGCAGGGCCTGGGGGAAGGAGCTGTGATACAGCCAAGAGGGGTCGGGAGTCGGGGCCCAGTTCACAGTTCTGGCTCCCTCCTTTCTGTAAATGGCGCCGCCCCTGCACATGTCGGAGGCACCCCCCCACCCCCCCCCCCACCCCCGGGCACAGACTCCGTGCACTCTGGGGGAAATCAGGGAACGGCCCGAGGCACCACCCCGCACCCACATCTATCTCCTGCTTCGGTCAGGGATGGAGGGAGGGAGGGGGGATCTCTGTTGACCTTTTTTTCTGCTTTACCAATGAATGATTCCTTGATAGAGACCTGTCCAGTAACTTCTTTTCACTGGGCTCCCAGGAACCCAGGCCCGTGCCAGGCGCACGGAGGGTATGGGAAGCAAGGGTGCCTGTGGGTCCCGGGGCCTGTGTTCCTCTGGAGCTGGTGGGGGCGGCGCTTGTGCTCACCGGTGGGGAGCACCGGGGAGAGCTGGGCCTGTCACCCACGTGTAAAAACCACGAGAGAGTCAAGAGCAGCTTGGCCATACTGGCGCACCAGGGAAGGTTTCCTGGAGGAGGGGGGTTGGGAAGAGGAAGTGCAGGTGGAGAAGCCTGACAGGGTCCCAGAGGCTGGCCTCGGTGAGGAGGATGAGTAGCTGATGACGGAAGGCTCCAAGGAGCCACCGCCTCTGTCCACGAAAGGGTGTGTCTGCCTCCCCTGAGCCTGCCCGAGGAACTTCTCTGTCTCACTGGGTTCCTCTCCCTGCAGACCCCCCTGTCCTGGCAAGAGCTTGACGGTGAGCGGGCCAGCTCCTGTACGCACAAGCGCTCGGCGTCCTGGGGCAGCACAGACCACCGCAAAGAGGTAACGGCCCCGTTTGACTTCCCGGCCAGAGTCGTGGCCTCTTGTCCACCCCCAGTGCCGCGGGTGCACCTGCTCCAAAGCGGACTCATGCTTCCAGTCCCCACCCAGCCTTTTCCTAATGGGATGGCTCCTCCGCAGCTGCTTCCAGCCACCTGGTGGCCAGGCCTTTGGAGCCAAGACCCTCCTGCCAGCAGGGGGTGGCCAGTGACTGCCGGTGCCCTTCAGCAGCCGAGCACAGGGTGGGAGCCCCCATTGTTCTCACTTCACTTCAAGGTTGGATCCAGATAAGCGGTTCAGAGACTGGGGAGAGATACGGAGTGAGTTCCCGGGAGCCGAAAAGCCACAGTTACACATCCTGTTACACTTAACTGTCCATCCCGCCTCCCCTTTAAAGGAAGGGGAAGATGGTTATTGCCCCCAAGCACTTTTTGGCCCCCCTTTCCCTCAGGAGGGTTCCGGGCACGGAGGTTGAGTAGAGAAAGCCGTGGACAGGAATCCCAGGGCTCCCGAGCCGGTTCCATCTGCCGTGCCGTGGGGCAGCGCCTGACGGGGCCCAGTTGCCAGGGGTCGCCCTCGACCCCTTTTATGGGAGAGCCACTTCTGCCTTCTTGGGTTGCAAGAACAGAGCAAAAACATGAAGTGTTTCAGGCCGGTGGAAAATACAAAGCGTTCGAAGTTTGAAGTGATCCGGGGAAGCAAGCGGTTTGTGCCGAGCGCGGAGTCGCGGCTGAGCGGTCCCCGGTGGCCACTCCGAGAGCACTGACTCTCCCTTGGCCGTGGCTCCCTGTTTCATGGCTGTGGCAGCAGATCTCCCCTCTGAATTCCACTTAATTTGGGCCCATATTTATTGAATTACTTTGTTTTTAAATTTAAATATTTTGTTTATGCTAGTACAGTTGTCCCAGTTCTTCCCCTCCAGCCCCCTCCACCCAGCCCCTCCTGGTCCCACACTTGAATAGCTCCGCATCTCCTGAGCGTTTGCCAGCTCGGGCAGGCAGACCCAGAATTCCAAACGCGGCAGGGATAATCTGCAAAATCGCCCGTGATGATCCATAACCGTTGCAGGAAGTGGGAGCTGGGACCGAACCCGATGCCCCTCCCATAGAGCTGGCTCCCTGCTCAGCGCAGTCTATTTCAAAACGGGAGGAAGTCCTTCCACCCTTCCTGGTCTCAGGGCCTCTGAGATGGTCATGAGTGTACTTGGGGAATGAATTCAAAAAACATCATTTCTATTAACAGAGAGTGGTATTCCACGTCTGTGGAACTGGTGGAAGACAAACAAGGGTTTCAGTGTTGCGTGTTTTCAAGTTTTGGGGAACTGGTTCGCCTGTGGCGTGCGTGGTAACCTGAAAGCTCAACAGTCGCGTTAACCAGGTGCCCAGCTCGCCCAACGGACCTCTCGTCACAGCTCCGAGCACTGCTGGGGCACTGTGGGACGGAGAATTAGCTGCCGTCTCCCTTCTGTGCGTTTTTGTGGGCCTAGGGTGGAGCCACGCCTGGGGGGGCGGGACCCGGGGCACTTCTGCTTTGCTTCACCTGCCGCCCCCTCCCTTTCTCTGGGCCGCCAGATCACCAAGTTGAAGCTGCAACTGCAGAGGACGAAGCTGAGCCGCAGCGGGAAAGAGAAGGAGCGGGGCTCCCCACTCCAGGGGGACCACGCGGTGCGGGGCACACTGAAGGTTTGTTCCCCCTGCCCCCGCCCTCTCCCCGCTGTCACCCTCCACGACCCCCACCCACCATGTGGGCAGAACCTCTCCGGTTGAGCAGCAGAGCCCTCCCACACTGCATGCCCCGTGGCCACAGGGGTGCCCAGGTGAAGCTTTAGTGCAAACCTGGACTTGGCAAATGACGTTGGAAAAGCGTCCTACTGTTCTAGATTTCTCTCTCCTCCACCCTCATCTCCTGTACGATGGGACTGTGATGCCCCTGCAACCTTTAGAATCACCAGACCTCTCAAAGCTCTAACTTCTGGAGAAAACTCCACTGAGTGGACCTGCTGCAGTCAGTACCTGTACCCAGCCCTCCTTTACTCACTTGGTGTTGCCGTGTAGCCATGGCCTTTACCCCCAGGCAGAACCCACGATGGCCAGGGGTTGGTGGGTTTCAGTGAGTGCTTCACTCGCTTCCTCCTCAGGTGTCGCCTCCCAGCTTCCCCGCAGGGTCCCCCGTCCTTCGACTCAGCCCCTGCCTGCACAGGAGCCTGGAGGGGCTCAACCAGGAGCTGGAGGAGGTGTTTGTGAAGGAGCAGGGTGAGGAGGAGCTGCTGCGGGTGAGTGGGGCCCAGGGGCGCTGCCAGGCCACGCTGGGTCTGGAGGGTGGGGGATGGGACTCTTGTCCTTTGGGACTTGCAGGCCACGGCTACAGCAGAGCTGGGTGGCTGCACCTGGGAGATGCTTTGAGGTGGTGAGTTGACAGAAAGGGAGCAGGGGTTGGCAGAGAGGAGGGTCCCAGAAAGGAGGAATGGGCAAGACACCATTCTTCAGCCAAAGCCCCAGCCCACTGTTCCTCGTACTTGGCCCTGGTACCGCCCACCCTGTGCGCAGCTGAACCCACCCTATTGCCTGCATTACCACGTCCCTTCCCTGCACCCCTACCTGGTGGCACACGTTCATTCTCCTTCATGCCCAGGTCCCCTGTGCAGCCTGGTTCCCTGCCCCACTCCCTGGCAGAATCACTCATCACCTGTCCTGCAGTCTCGGGCACATTTCCATACTGGCACAGTACAGCCAGGGAATGCCAGTTGGGCAGTATTGATACAGTTCTTATGTGCACACCTCTCAGTTTATGATTTACTCGCTGGTTGATTTTAAATTTGCATGTATGTAGGCTTTTATACCCACCCAAATATGCACACAATTTGGTGAGCTGTGGGTACAGGCACCATCAAATGTGAAGGGAAGGGAGGGATATTTGTTTATTATATTTATTTATTTTTAATTTTTAAAAAGATTTTATTTTTTTATTTTTAAAGAGAGGAGAAGGGAAGGAGAAAGAAACATGAATGTGTGGTTGCCTCTCGAGCGCCCCCTACTGGGGACCTGGCCCGCAACCCAGGCATGTGCCCTGACTGGGAATTGAACTGGCCACCCTTTGGTTTGCAGCTCGTGTTCAATCCCCTGAGCCACACCAGCCAGGGCGGGAGGGATATTTAACACACGACGATGATCTGCATGTGTGTCCTGCAGCTGTCACGGTGTCCTGGTGGCTGGCACATAGAAGGCCCTTGCCCCTGTGAGGCTTATAGCTTGATGGGGGTGCCACATTGAGAAACCATTCAAATAAATATAGAATTTTAATTGATCTGCAAGTACTGCGAGAGAAAAGGACGAAGAAAGAGGGGAGAAATGGGAGGGGCTTTCTCTTAGATTGCCTGGGGTTGGAGGGATTGGGAGTGACTTGAAGAAATGGTGTCCTGTTGTCGCTGTGTGTCCCGATTAGAGGGTGACAACGAGGGCGAAGGGAGGAGCCCGACTGTCCCCGTGGCTCTGCAGGCCTGAAGAGACCGGCCTGGGAGTCATCGCCTGCCCTTTCCCTGGCAGATCCTGGATATCCCCGATGGGCATCGCGCCCCAGCTCCCCCGCAGAGTGGCAGCTGTGACCACCCCCTCCTCCTCCTGGAGCCTGGCAACCTCTCCAGCTCCCCCTCCGTGCCCCTGGCGTCTCCCCAGCCTCCGGGCCAGGCCGGCCGTGAAGAACATCGGGGGGCCGCTGAGGAGCTGGCGTCCGTCCCCAGCGACAAAGGTAAACTGAGGCGGTCGAGGCAGCGGGGCCTGCTCGGGGCGCGGCGGTGTCTCCGCTCCCTTTTCTGTCTCCCAGCTAGAGCTCAGGCCTGGTGTTTTTATTTACCAGCCAACTAGAGTATCTTTGCGAGTCGTCTTGATTTCGTACATCATACCAGTAACAATAATGGTCCTTGATATTGATTCTGATTTATCATTTACATAAAGTCCCTGCACCTGCACTTGCATTTAATCCTCACTGTGATCCAAAGAAGCACTCCCTCCCTTCCCCATTTTTGGCTGGAAAGCCCTTGAGTCTGTCCAGATGTCTGTGGCACCCACTACAAGCGATGGGTCTCAAGGTGGCTGTAAACGACATAAAACAAGAGAATGTGCCCGTGTCACCTGGTTTGACCCAGAAGGAATCCCAAGCTCTCTGACTCCGAATCTCTGCTTTCGGCTGTGCCCTGCCGAGTTGTGTACAGGACTGGCTGCGGGCCCTGCTCCCGGTAGCAATGACCCTCCCCTTATAAAGCGCTGTGGCCTGTAGCGCCTCATTTGATTCTCACAGCAACCCCACGCAGTAGGATGGCCAGGGGCATGCTCTAACCATACACAGAGGTAAACAGAGCATAGAGTAATAAAGAATAAATGTGGGATAAATACAGATAAAGTCAATATTTGCAACCTAGGCAAAGTACATTCGCTGTGTGAAAAGCAAGAGGAATTTTATCCCAGGAGTGGGGTTGAGTAAAGATTGCCTCTCTGAGTCAGTGCAAGAGCTCTTCCTGGAGAAAGGGATAGACGTTCCAGGCTGCGGGGAGGAAGAAGCTGTGGTATGTTGGCAGGCAGGGCGGTGCAGCCTTGGAAGAAGGCGGAGAGACACAGAAGTTAGGGTTCCTTTAAGTCCGAGACTTGGCGTTGTGATCACTGTTTATCTCCTGGGAATATAAATTGGTATGAGACCCGATTTTCCCATCAATTCAACTGTATTAGGGGTTTTTTTTTTTGGGTGGGGGTGGCCTATGTAACAGGATATGTATTTTTGTATGCTGCCTCAGAGATCTTTTAAGGCAGCGTGTAGGTGAGCGACCTGCCCCCGGCTGCGCCACGTCTGCCGGCCTCCCCCCTTCCCCCCCGGGCCCGAGCTGAGGATGCTGCTCTTTCCCTCAGCTCCACGGGCCTCGGCCTTGCTCTGTTTGCAGCCTCTTCTCCAGGCCACCCAGCCTTCCTTGAAGATGGCAGCCCATCTCCGGTCCTTGCCTTTGCCTCCTCCCCTCGGCCCAATCACAGCTACGTCTTCAAGCGGGAGCCCCCGGAAGGCTGCGAGAGAGTGCGTGTGTTTGAAGAGGCCACGTGAGTACACGAGAGGGGGGCACGGGGGTGGGGGGTCCGTTGGCCCCGTGTGGTCCCGCCTGACAGGCCCTGCTTCGGTCTCGACTCTCCCTCTCGTCCTAGAGGTGCTGTCAACTCTAGATGGTTGGTGTTGCAGATTTTCCATGATCAAACTTGTTGACATTACCTACTCTGAGCACTTAAATCTTTGCTTATCATCATCTCCATAGAAACCTGCTCTCTGCCCACATGCCAGCCACCAGCGCAGCGGGAGCTGGAAAGGAAAGAGCTCCGAAACCTAAACCCTTTGTTTCTTCTATTTTTTTCCATCCCTGGGGAAGGTGTGAGAATTTGCCAGACCATAATCAGAGAGAGAGAGAGAGAGAGAGAGAGAGAATACATTAGCAGTTCCTTTCAGGCAGAGATGAGACATGCCTCCCCCCGGAGGGGCAGAGGGACTCAAACACCTTTCTCATTGCTTGTGAGTCACATCTGTGCCCTGCAGCTGCGGTGCTTCAGGTGTCATGAGTGTCCAGACAGAAGTTTCCAGTCCCTACAAGTAAGAGGACTATGGAATATTCCCGAACCCAGTGGACAGTTCAGAAGCCATTCTCCCGTGGATTGCCACAGTTCCCTCCCATCAGCAGAGAGAAACGGGAGCCGGCCTTTCCACAGGCCCGCACAGCCAGCCCCTCTGATGGGCACCCCGACAGCTCATGTCAATCCTCCCCCACCTCCCCCCGCCCCACACCAGCTTTAGTACTCATTCAGGCAGATCCGCCGTGGAAGGTGTGGTTTCCCCGGCAGTCAGGAAGTTTAGTCATGGGTGTATGTGTGGACATTTAGCCGGGACAGGGTTTGCGACCCTGCGGGCTCCATTTGCATCTAAGGGAAGGGAGAGGACCACCCACGGTATCAGCGGGAGGTGCACACATGCCCCAGAGTAGGAGCTGAGGAGAAAACCACAGCCACCGGGATGTCCCTGCGTCATCCCTGTTGCCCGGTGTCTTTCTGGAACTCTGGGTCCTCTGGGGCTCGTAGAGGGAAGAGGCCAGCGTGCGTAGCAGACTCTGGATTCCCGTGCCCTCCCCCGGTCCACGTTATAGCCGAGTAATTACAGCCCGGAATGCTTGTGGAAATGAGCTGCTTGCTTGCCGTGATTCTTCTGTAGACTCGGAAGAGGTCTTAAAGTCATCTCGTCCAGACTTCTGCCCCGGCGTCCGCCCTTGAAGACAGGAGCTGATCTATCACTTACTTTCTGAGATATCAGGATGGACATTCCCAGCTCATCGGGGTGTCTCTTCATTGTGTCAGCCTCACTGTTGGGCAGTTGTTGTGTTTAGTGGTTATTTCGCTGCAGTCCCCTCTTCCCGGCTGCTGACGCTGAGAGATGGCCTGGAATTCCCAGGGGGGTGCCCAGGCTGTTCAGGGTCACCTCACACATCGCTCAGTCTCTGGGTCACCTTCCGCATGTGCGCCTGCACGCACCGCGAGCATTCCCTATCCTGCCCCTTCCCGACCCCTCTGCAAAATAAGAGCCTTTTGAACCCTCTTTGTCCCGGGACATTTTGCCACCGGGGAGTCCTCTGGACCCCAGGCCTCACTCCATTCCACCTCTTACTCCGTGCCAACCTCTGCCTGCCTCCTCACGGCTCACTCTTCTTCCTGGGCTTGGAATGCTTAGAATCTGCAGTGGAGATGGTTACCAATTTATTAAGCTACACACTGAATGCATTTCTCTGTATGCGCAGTATACTTAGAGAAAAAGGTAGCCCATGGGACCCATTGGCAGTAGGGTGTCCCCCACCTTCTTGCACATCTGTCTCCTCACCACCAGCGGGTTGTCGGGCTCTTCTCCCTCGACAAGAGGCGCAGTCATACACCTCTTTATTTTTTATCATATGGAGTCGTTGTTCTAGAACTCTCCGACCTCACCCTTTATCCGTTCATTTCCCCTACATGACCAGAAGGGTAGGGATGATTCTTTTCACATGGAAGGTGAGACAGTTCAGGCCAAGACCAGGAGGACCAAGGCCACGTGGCGAGTAAGAGCCTATATCTTATTCAGTGACATGAGGCCTGGCCGCCCGTCTCACGTGGTCGCTCCCCCTCCCTCCCAGCAAAGGCTTTGAGAGTCACACCTTTCCAGTGTGCTCACGAATGGCATCCTTAGGACAGTACACTTCAACAGGGGCCAACTTTTACCCTTAGGGGACATTTGGCAATGTCAGGAGACATTTTTATTGTCACACCTTGGGGGGTGGGGGGCAGGGATGCGGTTAAACACCCTGTAACGCTCGGGACAGGCCCCACAACCAGGGATTGTCCAGCCCGAGGCGTCGCTAGCGCCGAGGCTGAGAAGCCCTGCTCCGACGGGACCGAGTCTCACAGAGCCGCCGCCTGGATGCTTGCTTTGAGGCACGGGGTCTGCCCCCACAACACTGTTCACAGATGACATCTCCCAAGTTAAGAGAGCCCGTAGTCTCTGCTAAAATCACATGCTCAGGAAGTTCTTCCTGTCTAGCTTCGGTCCCTCCTGTTTCTAGCTGCAGTAGATTTCCTGTTGTTTAGCCATGTTTCTGCAACGTGAAGAGCTCAGTAGCTTATCGTCTTTTGGTGGAATTACCACGCGGTTTGGGCAGAGACGCAGCTCCTCGCCTCCCCGGACGCCGGGGACGTCTCTCAGCTCTTCTCACTAGTTGTGTCCGTGTGTGTGTGCGCACATGTATGTCTGTGTTTCTGTCTCCACGCCCCAGGTCTCCAGGCCCTGACCTCACCTTCCTGACTTCCTGTCCCGACAAGAACAAAGTCCACTTCAACCCGACCGGCTCGGCCTTCTGCCCCGTCAGCCTGATGAAGCCCCTCTTCCCCAGCATGGGCTTCATCTTCCGCAACTGCCCCTCAAGCCCGGGGTCTCCCCTTCCTCCCGCCAGCCCCAGGCCACCGCCTCGGAAGGACCCAGAGGCCCCCAAGGCCTCCTCGCTGCCGTTTGAGCCGTGGCAGCACAGCCCGCCCTCAGACGAGCCCGTGCTTTTCCAGAGCTCCCTGGTGGTCTGAGGGCCCCGCCCCCACCCCTTCCCATGGAGACCAGTGCCTTGGTGGCAGGCCCGTCCCTGGCTCCCCTGAGGTGGGCGATCAAGGAGCCCTTCCCTCTTGACCTTCGAGCACTTTCATTTATTGTGTCAAAGCCCTGGGTCCTCTTTCTGATGGACATTGTCCCCTCCAAATAGGAGGGGGCCTGCCTTCTCCACTAGCAGCTGGGCAGCTCACGAGTCACACCTGTGTTCTTGCCACCCCTCTTACTTGGTGGAAAACTCACCCAGAAGGCCTTGGGTCCCCCACCCCTGGGCGAGTTCAAGGGGCCCGTATATGGGGCCCTTGCCCTAGTCATGGAGCAAGCTGGCCGTGATCAGCGGAGAGAGGACACCACAGATTTCTTTCCCTCTCCTCCACGGACACAGAAGGGGAGACCCGAGTACGGACACTCCCATCCTCCCAGCCTCCACTCCCACACTTCCCTTTCATTGGAGGAGCCGACCAAAGCAGCCCTAAAGGGCCTAACACTTGACCAATCCAGCTGCTGGCAGAGGAGGAGCCTAACGTTTTCCCAAGTGGCATTTTCATCTCGCTTTCATCCTGACTAAGATTGTCTTAAGCAGCAGCCCAGCCTGCCCAGCCCCAGGTGGGGTCGGGGAGGGGAGGGACAGCTGGCATTCCTCTAGGTGGCAAGTGGTGACTCTGTGCCCTCCACCTGCCCCAGGATTGGGTTGGATTAGAAAAATGCCTATTTTTCTTGTATCAATGTAGAAACTCTATTTTCTCCCAAAGACACTATTTTTGCAGCTGTTTGAAGTTTGTATATTTTCCGTACTGCAGAGCTTCAGAAAATTGAAGAATGTTAATGTTCAAGTTTTCTTATCCTGTGTTTAGAAGTTGTTTGTGGGTTTTTTTTTTTTTTTGCAGATCTTGTTGTTAATAGACCAAATAAATAAGTATTCCCAGCAGTTTGTGGTTCTGTTCAATATTTGGGCGTGGGGAGTGGGATGGAGATGGAGGGCATTGTTTTGATCACTTCGTCCTTGTCTCTAAGAGGAGCCTTTACTTAACACATAACGATGTAGATGAACAGAGTCCCTGTCCTCAAGACACCAGGCTTGGATTCTGTGCGTGGACACGTGAACAGCGGGTCCATTTGCCGTTCAGAGCAAAGAGTGCGTTGGAGGTGCCGTGAAGAAGTCATTCTTTCCTGAGTGAGTCTGGAGAAGCTCCCTGGGGAGAATGGGTCTCAGCGATGAAAGGAGGGTGGCCAGTGGAAGACAGGTTGACACTGCAGGTGCTTCTTGACTAAAGAAACTCTTGTCCTTTCGCTGCCTCGCACCTATCACAGTGCCACGCCTGGAGGAGCTCTGAGGCTTTTGGAGGAAGTGGGAATAATCCCAACATTCTGAGAGGTGTTTTGCAATTTACCAAGCATTTTCACAAAAGACACATTAGTCCCCTTTGGATGGATGAAAGAAAAGCTGACTACTCCAAGGGCAGTCATGATAATACTACAATGGTAGCTATCTGGAAGACCTCAAGACAAACCCCTAAGGCTGTGATCCCCACTACAATTCTTTGGCTTGTTCAACATCAGATAACCCTAGTAAGTGCTTGCATAAAATGTTGAAATATTAAAACAACCCAATGAGAGAAATGGGATAAACCCCACTGTACACAAGAGGGAAGGACAGAAAGATCGAATAACTTTACCCCTGAGACAAAGACAACGCTGGGATTGGGAACCAAATCATTTAAACCCAGCGGCCATGCTTCTAACCGCAGCTCTCCCATTGGTCATATTCCCATTAGTTTCAGGTGAGGAGACTACACTCAGAGTTCAAGTGAATTGTTTGAAATCCCAGCTGGTAGAGAAGTAGAGCTAGGAACCGGAACCGAGTTCTCTCACGCAGCTGCTGCCTGGTGCCCTGGACTCACTGACTGATGCAGCACATGAGACATCGGGCAAGAGCTAATGTATGGGGCTCCCTCCTCCCCCACTGCCATAAAGGAGAGAGGGGGTTGAGGACAGACCCCATCTTCTCTCTCTCATCCCTCCCCCCTGAAAGACAGTTGGCCTAGTCCCCAAGGTCTTAGTGAGTCAGGCCCAGGCTGATGGGTGTGGTGCTGCCCCGAGTTTCCTTCCTTTGCAGGAGGCTGTGCCAGAGGAGCAGGCTGCTAGAAGGGGAGAGCGAGCCTGTACCCAGAGAGCCGCGCCTGAGTGCAAATATGTGAGGGTTCTGGGTGGGCAGTGGAAAGACCTGGGGTCAGTCTCACCCTAGTTCTTGGCGCCAGCAGGTGAAAGTCCAACACTTGGATGAGGGACAGGTCCACCAAGGAGCTCAATTAATAGGAAAGAATCCGGAGGGCGGAGGGAGGGTTTGCTCCATAGTTGGTAAGTTGTGAGACCCTAAAGAAAAATACTCACTCAGGTAAGCTTCCATTTCCAATTCCAGGATGTGAGGAAGTAAGATTAGGGTTGAGAAAGAATAATGAATCATAATGGTTTAAACGTGCACGGCATACTTTACAATATATAAAATACTTTCACAAATCTCAGCTCATTGGAACAGTCAAGAGGTGATAAGGTGGCTATTACCGATTATCTATCCCTAGCTTACAGATAGAAAACTGTGGCTCGGAATTTAGGTGTCGTGCGTAGGTTGCCCTGCCTGGACGTGAAGGAACGGCGACAAAAGCCCTGCTGTCCTAGGAGGCCTACGTGAATGAAATTGCCTTTGTAGGAGGATTGCTCTCGAACGCGGGGCCTTGAGCGTTCTTTTGGTAGAGCCGGTAGAGTCGATGACGCTGGGTAGCGGCTAGGGGGCGCTAAGGCTCCACTAAGAATTTCATGGCGTTAGGACCCCGCAGAAGCCTGACTGCCGACCGGGCAGAAGACTACCCGATCCCCAGCCTCCCGCCCCACCTCCCTGCCCAGCTGTCCGTCCTCACACAGCGCAGCCAATCGGCGGCCTCCACATCCTTATACTTCATCACTCCACGCCGCGTTCCTCGTAGGTCGCCCCATTGAGCTCCGGGTTGCAGTTGTCCTCGGAATTGCCTGATCGGAAAAATCTGGAGGGCAACACTTTATCCCCGGGACAGCTAGCTTTCCTGGCCACTAGGGACGAAGGCAACGTCTTAGGGTGGGTTTCCTTTCCTTGGACTCGGTTTCTGGGTTCTGAGGAGTTTCCCCCTCGGCGGTTCTGAGCTGGCAGTTCTGGCGGTGGCTGTTGGGCCCTGCTGAGTGGCGGTCGCATGCAGCTCCTATGAGGCCCCTGTCGCCGGTCGGCGATGTCCGACTGGAGCTGTCGCCGCCGCTGCCGCTGCCGGCTGTGAGCGGGTCTCCGGTCGGGTCGTCCGGGCGTCTCATGGCCGCTAGCAGCTCCCTGGTGCCCGACCGGCTGCGCCTGCCGCTCTGCTTCTTCGGCGTCTTTGTCTGCTATTTCTACTATGGGATCCTGCAGGAAAAGATGTGAGCGTGTCCCAGGGGTCGCAAAGCGGACATTCCCCGCTACCCCGCCTCCTCCCTCTAGCTCTTAGCTCCTGGTGGGGCTCGCAGTCTTCACGGCCCCTGCCCACGGTGTTCCCTCTCGCCCTCCACCCTCCCAGCACCCCAAAACCTTTGCAGCGCGGCTTAGCCTCCCAGATGTCCAAAACGCGAAAATTGGTCTTGGGAGCTGTTGATTTATTTTCCCTTCATTGCTTTTTTTCCCTGTTGGTGCTAAGGGCCAGGGTTTTACAGACTAAGACTTATGCTCTCAAACAGGTTTCCCTGAGCTGTGCCGGTTCCTCTTTGGAACTCCTAGATGCTTGCAGACAGCAGACGCTTTCGCCCTCAGCCTCGTTGCTGTAGCCCATATTTCTTCTGCTGCCTGCAGTGCCTCGAGTCACCACCTAGTTTTCTACGTTTCTTCTAACTCCATCCTTAACGGATATTCTTGTTCTGGGCCACGGGATTAGCAGACTGGGATGTCTGGTTTCTAAATCCAGTAAAATCGATTCCTTTTATAAAGGAGCCCAGGGATCCTTGTCAGACTCTCCCTACATCCAGAGAGGCAAGATAATTTCAAAGCTTTCCTTGGCTCTGGACCTAGTAGGTGACATTGAAGGAAATACACTAATTTCTTCTCTCATACATTTGATTCCTAGAACAAGAGGAAGGTATGGAGAGGGAGCCAAGCAGGAGAAGTTCACTTTTGCCTTAACTTTGGTCTTCATCCAGTGTGTGATCAATGCCGTGTTTGCCAAGATCTGTGAGTACCTCGATAGTAATCAACTTTTAGGTGCCCTCCTCTTTGTGTCCTGGGCACAAGGCAGTGGTCCAACCATAAGGTCTAACTCTCAAGATCCCCACTCCCTTTTGCACTTCATACCACCCCTCTGTTCAGCCTGTAAAACGCATGGCTTTGGCACAGGGTAAAACCCTATTTCCTTACATTAGACCACCTGAGTCAGGCACGTGCAGAGAATGGGCCTTCTGTACTTCAGATCCCTGCAGAGACTACCTAATTTTTTCTTTGTCCCTTTGATTTTTCCTTGATGTGTCAGCTTCAAACACGGTTTGCGCTTTTCCCTCTGTTCCCTGGGGGCTGGCAGCAGGCTGGCTAGTCCCTTGAACTCAGTGAGTGCCCCACCCCTGCCCAGGATGTGGTCTCGTTTTAAGCTTAGATGGGATTGGAAAATTGAATAATCTACAGAGATTTCCCAGTGCAAGAGGACAGAAATAGCTTGTGTTTCTTATCTTATTTGACTGGCAAGTTCCTTTCATGTGGCTTTGACTTTGACTCAGAGGTCCATTCTAGGTTTTTGCCATCAGGTTTTTCTTGTCTGTTTTTTTCTTTCTTTTTTTTTTTTGTCTTCTCCCAGTGATCCAGTTTTTTGACACTGCCAGGGTGGACCGTACCCGGAGCTGGCTCTATGCTGCCTGTTCTGTCTCCTATCTGGGTGCCATGGTCTCCAGCAACTCAGCACTGCAGTTTGTCAACTACCCAACTCAGGTGCAACCTCCGGATGGGATGAGGGTTGGCTCAGATGTTATTTGAAAAGAACTGTCCTGGCTGGCGTAGCTCAGTGGATTGAGCGCGGGCTGCGAACCAGGCATCGCAGGTTCGATTCCCAGTCAGGGCACATGCCTAGGTTGCAGGCCATGACCCCCAGCAACCGCACATTATGTTTCTCTCTCTCTCTCTCCCCCCCTCTCCCTCTCTCTCACTTCCCTCTCTAAAAATACATAAATAAAATCTTAAAAAAAACCCACAAAAAACTAAGGACTCTTCCCACGGGTCCATGACTTAAATAGACAGTGTGTTTGAGAGCTTTAGAGTGCGAAGGACCATAGATCCAAGGTTCGGTGGGGGTGGGGCGAGACGGTAGGGCTGCTTTCTGAGGCCGCGGTCTCTGGTGCAGGCCCCCACGGACTCATCTTAATGCAGCACCTAGTGTAGTGCCTGGCACGTGACAGATGCTCAGAAATGACTTGCCGAATTTAATTTCAGGTCCTTGGTAAATCCTGCAAACCGATTCCAGGTAAGCAGAAGAAGATGGTGTCCTGTTTCCCATCCTCACTTGTTCTATAATGAGCTCTCACCTTCTCTGCTGGAGTTCCGTGTCCCTTCAGGCTGCACCACCCCATCACCGCTATCTCCAGGGCTTCCCTCTGTGTGCCCCCCCCCCCATCCTGTCATCTGTGCCAATTCCTTTGGTGTTGGTTGTGCATAAGCTGGGAGCCAGAGGCTTCACGTGGTCAGTCATTTTGTGTCCCATGTGCTTACGTGGCCGTTAGACACCCTGAACCCCATTTTGATCATGAGTTACTTTCTCTCAACCTTTCATTCTTCCTTACTCTAGTCACCTTTGCCCTGTCCCTTCCCAGACCTTTCATCTTGGTTCTCTGCCTTTCCCCTGCCTTACACTCTCTGTTCAACCCTATTGCTCAACCCTGTCTATCTAGGTGCCAGCCTCA